GTGGGAACAGCAACGGTGCAGGTGGCCAGGGCGGTGGGAACAGCAACGGTGCAGGTGGCCAGGGCGCTGGGGCAGCAACAGTGCAGGTGGCCAGGGCAGTGGGAACAGCAACGGTGCTTTGAACTTTGCAGGAGAGACAGGAGCTTCAGGGAACAAGGCATCAGGAGGCGTCAGTGGGACGTAGTCAGGGGTGGAGGAAGCCAGTGTGGCACAGGCCCGGCAGGTGGCACAGTGTGCTGAGACGGCCAGGCCAGGCCACAACACAACTCCAGAGACTCGGGCATAGCCGCCCACAGGACGGGGCTGGGCTGTGCAGTCTGGGGCAGACGGTGGGATGGAGCCCAACTGCTGCATCTGAGCCTAGCCCACTGCTGAATCTTGTGTGCCTCTGGGTGTACAGCATTACCACGGGAACAGAGATGACCCTACATGCAGGCTGGGGATGACCATGGAGGAAGGGTGGGCAGAGAGCACCTGCTGCCAGGGACCGCATTGGCTCTGCTCAGGTGATGCATACCTCCCAGTACAGCTGCCTTGGCACAGTGAGCCTGGGGCCAGCAGGCCCAAGCCCTCGGCTGCTGTCAGCACCAGAAGGCTGAACAGGAGGTGCGTGGGCGCAGGGGCCTCTGTCCCTTGACCCTCTGCCTCAGGACAGCGTCCCCGACTGTGCCCTCCTGGACAGGGAGCAGCACTGTGCTCAGTCAGCCTCGGGACTGGGCGCCTCTGCGGCAGCTGTCCTGCAGCCCAGCATGCGTCCCCTCCGCGGGCAAGGGCAGGCTCGGCGGGCGGGGACAGGAGCTATTTATAGCCCGAGTGCGTGCAGTTTCGCTCATCAATAACTCGCTGCAATCACACAAAGCTGGATGATAAAGTGGCTCTGGACCTCACTGAATAGAATATTATTCCTGCTCCGTGACAGGAGAAGGTGGCATGCCTCGCCAGTCACACAGGGAGAGTCACAGGGGACAGGCGCTTGCTCTCAGGCGCAGACATGGTGCTGTCTTATTTCCATTTTAAGTTGCTCTTAATTACGCAGCGAGGCATGAACACGGCCGCCCACCCGGTTTGGAGACTGGCGCTGCAGGGCATGTGAGGTGAACACTCGGGGTGAAGCTCGTGCGCCCCCAGCCTCGGCCACCTGTCACCCCGCACCTCGAGGGACTGGTCACCGTGACCTCCACGCTGAACCGCGCCGGCATCCCACAGACACACCAAGCTCCTCCAGGGCCACAGCACACGCTAGGGCCCTGGAGACAGCGCTGGCCAGGCCCGGCCACAGCCACGTCCCCCGATGAGCCTTGCGCCGTGTCCAGTGTCTCAGTGTCCTTTCTCCCATTGCTGAGACAAAACCCCCGACGCCCAGGGTGGAGGGATTCAGATCACGGTTGGCAGAGCCTCTGTCCACAATCTGTGGGCTCCAAGCAGGGTGGCGTGGCAGAGGGACAGCCGTCATGGCGGCCGAAGACGGCCGCAGCAGCGAGCGTTGAGCAGTGTCTTTCTGCCCCTTTAGCGTCGTGCCCAGGATGCCAGGACCCGCGGTGCCAAGCCGATCGGTGACTGAGTTGGCAACACTCAGCCCTCACGCCAGCACCGCACACTCGTGTCAGAGCCTGAGACCGCATGGGGCTGGGGGGACATCGGGACACAGCCATGACATCTGGCCAGGTGTTCGGGGGCTGGGCGAGGCGCCCGGGCCTCTGTGCAGCTCCTTACAGCCTCCCGGGACTCTGGGCTGCCCGGGCTTCCAGCCCACAGCGTTCGCCCAGAGGCGCCTTCCCTCCAGGCGGCCTGGAGCCGGCCTCTCAGGGGCGGATGATCAGTCTTCCCTGGACACAAGTACAGGGCAGGGGAGAGTACCCGAGGCCGCTGGGGAGGAGGAAAGTCCACCTGGGATAAACGTGACTGGGACCCCAGGAGGGTCGGGGCTGCAGGGAGGACTCCACACTAGCAGGTGGCGAGAGCCAGGGCCCGGGGGCTGGGCTACAGGATGGGGCTCAGCGGGCTGGGCAGAGGGCACCTGGGGACCAGGGCACAAGTGGCCAGTGGAGGCTGAGTGTAAGTGAGCAGGGGTCTGCACAGGGCCACAGCGAGACAGAGTTACTGCAGTGGCTGCCACCAGGAGGGCGCCAGGCAGGACCACCCTGAAAAGCTGAGACAGCCGACGGGCTGGAAGCAGTGGCAGATGGATAGCAATTGTACTGAGCTGGATGTCAGGAGCAGGGGGCGGCCTCAGCCACGCACCATGGGCCTTGGGGACACAGCCACCTGAGAGCCCAGGCCGAAGAACAGGGTCCCTTGGGCCTCCTCACACCCTCCCAACAATTCCAGGCACAGGTGCCCCAGCATCGCTGGAAGCACCCCCAAAGTCAGCTCTGGGACACAGGAGGGGGAAGGACCTGGGACAAAGAGCCCAGGATAGAAGCAACCCGTCCCCATGACCCGCAAGAGGCCCTGACAGTCCAGGCACCCTAGTGTCAACCCCAGGCCTCCCCAATGGGCCCACAGCACTGCCCACCGGGGCCACACACCCTTGGCTTGGCATCGGCCAGCCTCGACACAGGCGACGGCGTTCCACGGTGTCACAATTTCCAGGAGGCAGGAGATTCCCTGGGAGCGCAGCGTCCTGGGCAGCTGTGGGGAGCAGCACAGAGGCCCTGGCGCCTCACCCACCTGCTGCCTCTCCCCACACCAGACGAGGGCTTCCTCCCTCGGAATGCACCAGTGCCGGGACCCGGCCTGGGCTCAAGCCACACTCACGGGCCCACAGCACACAAGTGCACACGCCACCCCCGCCACCCCCCCCTTGCCCTTGGAGGGCCCAGGTGCCCGCTGGCAGCTGACACACCTGGTCACCGTGCCAGGCTAAAACGCCACCAGGATTGATCCCTATTGACCCACACCCGAGGGAGGGAGCCCTGCGACCTTCCTGATGGCCACGCGTCTGGCCTGGGGTTGTCACTCTCACTGCGGGAACCACTGTGTGCTCACCGCCATCCTCGTCCTGCTCGGGGTCAGCCGCAGGGTCTCCTGGGGGCTGGGGGCCAGGCCGGCAGCCCTGCTCCCTCTGAGGTCCCGGGTCAGTGCGAGGGGAAGCTCCGGGCGGGGCCCCCCACTCAGCCGCGCCTTCGTGCCTGTGCCGTGGGGAGCGTGTCTGGCTTGCGTGTGCGCGGCCGAGCCGTGTGCTGGCCTCCCTCTGGGCGCGCATTGCCTCGGGTCCTGTGTGCGAGCTGTGTTCTGTCCTCAGGCATGCAGCGACCGTGGACGCGTAAAGGATAAACCAGCCCCTACGTCATCCACGTCTCCACGGTAACCACACGGCCACCGCAGGTGGATTCCACGCAGTGCCACCTCCAGTGTGCTGTAGGCAGACTCTGCACAAATCACCACAGGTTCAAGGGCAGATCGGACCCTGCTGGTGAGAACCAGGCCTGAGACTCCACGGCCGCAGGGAGACCCGGGTGGAGCTGACCTGGGGTGGCCAGTGCGGACCCCGGAATCTTCAGGCAGGACGGCCCCTCATGCAGCCCACAGCCCAGTGCCAGCCCTGGGAGCAGATGTCTCCCCAAGTCCTAGCCCCTGTGGGCACCAACAGAGGGTCCCGCCCCTGGGGGCATGTGGGCGAGCATTAGCTGAGGCCCCGTCCAGGCCCAGCCTGTGCAGGCCCAGCCCCACCGTCAGGTCTCAAACATCCCTTCCCCAGCCTGCACACCCTCGGCCCTCCCTCCCCGGCCAGCACTGTGCTCTCAGTGTCCATTTCTCACTTTTAAAATGACTGCTCTACCCGCAATACTCAGGCAATCCCAAATAGGTTTACAGGAGCTTTGGAGCCCACACTACTCCAGAACTGAATCCAGAGCAGGTTCACAGAACCTCCAGCGTGAGTGTTCAACGGCATGTGTGCTACCGTCCAGGGGCACACATAGGGGGCAGAGCTCCTAGGCTGGCCCAAGAAGAGGCCGTGAGCCTGTGATTGGTCCACGTGCAGACCTGTGATTGGTCCAAGGCAGGCCCATGATTGGTTCACTTAGATACAAGGCTCTAGGACAAGGCAGACGGCACGTGGAGGAGCTGACTGCTGTGTTGTCAGGGTGGGGCTGACACCGGGAAATCTGTCGGGAGGTTCATCACAGCAGACTGGGGTTCAGCGACGTTGGAGTTGTTCCCACTGGGCCCAGACACCCCTCCTTGATCTAGTCATGCCGGGTTCCCCCACCCTCAAGAAGGTGCAGCAGCACCTGAACTGGGAAGTGGGAGGGCACAGCTGGCTGGACAGTGGCTGCTCCCTGGCCTGGGGGACGCGGAGGACAAGGTCGGAATGGGCACAACAGCCAGTGACCAAGCCAAAGGAGAGAGGGCCAGACCCGTGCTATGGCCTGTGTCACTGGTGCCCCTGCACACTGGCCCATCAGGGAGGCCATTGAAGGAGAAGGGGACGCAGGGACACAGCTGGCTGCTTGGCCTGGGAAGGCCTCCTGCCCGTGTGCCCTGCATGGGGCTTGGGGGAGCAGCAGGGCTCGGACACTGGCCTGGGTGGGACTGCGCCTCCTCGGGCTCCAGGGCCGGCCGACCTGTGTCCTCTGCCGTGTGGGTGAGGGCCGCGCTCCTGTCCTTCTGCACCGCAGCACCCAGAGCAGAAGAAAGCGCCCGGCCTCTTGCCTGGGAGGGGCCGGCGCTCATGAAGCTACAGCCTGGCCTGTCTGTCACAGCGTAGTGACAACGGTGCTGGTCACCACGCCAGTCCTCAGGACCATCCCAGCCCCATCTCGCCCAGCGGGGACGCACAGGGTCCCCTCAGGAAAGACTTCAGCCCTGCCCGCCCAGCCCCGGGGTGGGTAGCCACCTCCGTCGTTGTGTAGCCTCCGCAGGATCAGAGTCCCCACCGCAAGAGGTGAGTGGCAGCCTGGTGACACCACAGCCCCTGGGGATGGGCCTGGTGACCCACGCGGCCCCTGGGGAGCTGGGTGGGTGGAAGGGCCAGCTTGAAGGCGCAGATCCACGACCTCCCAGTCTCTAGTGGGCTTTATTTATTTGTGCTGATGTGCATTGTGCTCCTAACCCGGAGCTGTCCTTGGCTGGGCCCTAAGGCTTGAGCCTCCGTTTTAGAGGAATAACAGCAATGCAAGCTGCTGCTTATTTTTAACGCTGAAATTGATATTCTGCCTCCATCAGTCTCGCCTTTCACATGCTGCCTGTGGGTTATCCACGTTCAGTCGAGCATCGTTTCAGCTCTTCGTATCTCGGTCCTCCCGCTCACCTTGGCCAGGAGCTGCCATCTGAGGTTCCCATCAGCTCACTTCAGGTTATTTTTAATTTACACCTGACAGAAAACTGAAATTACTCAAACTTAAAACTTTTCTATTTTCCCTCGGGCTCCTCTGTCAGCCACTAGCTTTTTCTCTATTTTCTTTTAAGATAAAATTCACCTAACAAGATGAACAATTTTAGGAGAACAATTCAGGGGCATTTAGTGCACTGACAGTGTGGTGTACCTCTCAGGATACGGGTCTTCCACCTCCTGATTCAAATCCATTCCTGAGCATCTTGATCTTTTAGACAATGCTAGAAATCAGATTGTTTTATCAATTTTTTATTGTTTTTTGCTCATGGAGGAAAAATCCGTTTTAAAATATGGCTTTGTTCCTTGCAACTTTGCTGAATGTATTAGCTCTATGCACGCGTGTGCATGTGTGTGCGCACGTGTCTATTCTGTGAGGCTTTTCTTTTTTTACGTATCTAGTACAGGGTCACACTAGCAGCTGACTCCTACTAATCCTCCTGTGTTGAGCCTCCCAAGTGCTGGGGTTACAGGCAAGCGCCACCACACCCAGTCCCAATCTCTGTCTCAGCGCGCCCCGGGGCGGGGCGGGGGCGGCCCTCGTGGGATTTAGAATCTCTCCGTGTCACCCAGGCTGGCCTTGGGGTGATCCTCCTGCTTCAGCCTCCCGTGCCGGTCCCAGGTGTGTGTCACCAGGATGTGCCCGCCGTCCTCTCTGGGCACCGACCACCGGACACGGCCCTCCCTAAGTGGACTCTTGGCCCCTTTCTCCACCGCCGGGCTGTGGCTCCAGCGTCTGGTGCGGGGCTGCCCAGCAGGGCAGGGTCGGACTTAGAGCAGAGCTCTCTGTCTCAGTACGCCGTTGGCTATGGAGTGCTCTTAACTCCCTTTCCTGTGTGGAGGTGTGTCCTTCTCCTCTAGTTTCCTAGGTGTTCTGTTCCTGGAGAGTGCAGGGCTGGGCTGGGAGTGTTCTCCAGCAGCCGAGACGCTCAGCCGGAGCCTGCCTCCCCCACCAGCGGGTCAGTCGATCCCTCCCACTGCGTGTCCCCTGCGGAACCACCCGAGTCCCCGGACCAGTCACGCTTGGTCATGGTGTAAAATCCTTTTACCATTTCCTGTGCTCTGAGGCTCGGTTTGCTAGGATTTTGTTAAGGACTCTGGCATCTGTGTTCATGAGGGGTACTGGTTTGCAGGTTTCCCCAGGTATGGTGGTTCGTCTGGACCTGGTATCTTAGCAACCAGAACCTGGGCTCCTAAATTTGGAATTGATCCCCTCTTCTGCTTTCTGAGAATGAATCACCGGTGCTGTCTTCCCTAAACCTTCGCTAGCTCTCTCCTTCAAAGCTATCAGAATGCGGGCTCTTTGTAGTTGGCAGATTTTTGATGACTGATTTAATCTTTTTGAAAAGTATAGGTTTGATCACAGTTAAATTCCTTTTTCAGGAAGTTTCAGCTAACTGCTGTGTTTCTACCCACAGTCATTCCTAGGATGCCCAGATTTGGGGGCATACAGTTACACAGCCTTCTAATCCTCCTTAATTCTGTAACATCAGCCACGCATCAATTAGCTTTTTGTGGCTGTGTGACAAACTGCTGAGAGGACAGTCAGGGCCAGGGGGTGCTGGGACACTGCAGGGACCCACTCCTTCCTTGTCACACTCGGGGCCGGCCCTCCATTGGCCCTGCCTCCTGCACTCCCGGCACCTCCCAATAGTCCCTGCTGTGATGAACTCCTCGGTGGATTAGCCATGGATGGGACCTGAGCCCTCGTGAGCCACGCGGTTCCCACAGTCCCCTCTGAACATGGCTGCACTAGAGAGCAGCCCTTCAGCAGCAGCCTCCAGGGCAGGGCAGCTCTGATGCTAGCAGCCGGGTGCCGCTTCCATTCACTGTTTGTGTTTTATTTATTTCCTCATTTACTAATATTTAATAAATTTTTGATATTTTTAAAGACCTGAGTTTTTGGTTTCATTGATTCTATTGCTTTTTCTGCTTTGTATTTTGTTTGTCTTTTTTTAAAAAATGTGTTTGGTGTATTTTGCTTTTCTTTGTAGTAATATCTGTTTCTTTCTCCCCACTAGGTTTAGGCTTTACTTTTTCTAGGTTCTTTTTCTTTTTCTTTCTTTCTTTTTTTTCTTCTGTACTGAGGATGGAACTTGGGACCTTATGCTTGCCAGGCAGACACTTAGCAGTTTCTTAAATTATGAAGTTAGACTATTATCGATTTGAGATTTTTCTTCTTTTTTAAAGCTGCTGCTAGGGCCGGGGATATAGCTCAGACATGTAAGCACCTGCGCGGCACACTCAAGGCCCCACGTTCAGTTCCCAGTACTGCAAAAATAAATAAGTAAATAAATAAATAAATAAAGTTGGTGCTTACTACCACAAACTTACCTACAGGAGCTTCTTTTGTGGCATTCCACAGGAATTTTCCGTGGTGGGCACGGGGTCGCATGCCACATATTCTGGAATTCCGGTTTTCTTTGTTATTGAGAGCTGGTCTCATTTCATTGTGACCAGACAAGAGACTGCACAACCTTGAACCCTGGGGGCTGGTGTGGCTGAACGAGGGCCCTTGGGCGAGTGGCGCGGCCGTGGTGGTGGCCCCTGCTGCCAGCCCGTGGATCTGCACCTTGTCCCAGGCGTTCTCCTTCTCGATCTGCTCCCAGGTGTGTCAGACTCTGGCCGGGGCTGTGACGAGTGACAGTGACATAGTCAGTGCGTAGTGCAGCTGTGCACACACACATACCCGTGTGTCACAAAACTGCCCGTTAGATACTGTAACTTTTTTTAAAAGGAGGCTGAGCGGCTGGAGCCTGCCCGGAGGAAGGCGTGTGTCCTCCACACTGCTGCAAGCAGCCTCTTCCTCTGCTGCTTCTCCTCCTCTCACGTGGAGCTTCCTTAGTGGCCCAGGACACGAGAAACAGCTTCCCACTGCTGCGTGTGTCCCCCTTGGCAGGACCCTCACTCCTGTCCCCCACTGTCATCCTGTGCCCTGTGAGCAGGGCTTATTCTTTCTGAAGGCCGAAGGCCTTCCTTGACCCTCCTGGACTCAGGGAGATGTTAGGGTGGGGTAACCCTGGGACATAGCCAAGGCTTGTCACATCAGCGAGAAAGCTTCAAACACCCGCAATTCAGATGCCCCTCGGGGTGGCTGTGCCTCTCACTCATCACCATCTTGCTGTCCCCTGTCCCCAGGCTCTCACAGAAGAGGTGACCGGCAGAACCCCACTGACTGTAACGGCAACACCGGGAAGGGTGTGGAGCTGGGTCCCCAGTCCTCAGCGAAGCCTTCTCCTGCACAGAGGTGGACAGGGCCAGCATCGCCCTGAGAACTTCCCGGGCACCCAAAAGAAGCCATCGCGCCCCAGGCCTCAGAGGGTGCTGGGCAGCTGGACAACAGGGCAGCTGGGAAAGCCACGCCGCCCCAGAGACCTGCAGGCTCAGACCTGTGGCAACGGCCGGCCAGGACCACGGCAGTGGCTGTGCCGAGGGCTGCAGAGCCACGCGAAGGCTGCGTGAAGCAGGGCAGCTCTCACCCAACTCATGTTTTGAGCTGCGTTTCCACAGTGGGGGCCACAAAGCACGGCCACGACAACCTGACAATGACCCACGCTCCTCAGCTGGGGGCTGCTCTGCATGCCGTCCCGGTCTGCCCAGTGCAGGACAGCCGGCTCTGCCTTCAGGATCTGTCCTGACCAGGGTCAGCTCTGCTGACACCTGTGCACACCTGGCCTCCGGAGGGCCACCGCCAGTCTGCAGGCAGGAGGGGCTTTGCTTCCTGCAGACAGGACCTACCGTGGGCATTAGCTGCCCCCTGCTGCCCGCAAACTCAGCCCTGCCTCTGCGGCGCAGACAGCGCCTGCAGGTCCTCAGCACTCTGTGTGCGGAAGGCTGGCCCGGATCTCACGGCTGAGGCCAAGGTGTTCCGGGGCCAACTCCTCTCTGCAGCCCTGGGGGGCCCTGTCCTCGCTCTCCCAGCTTGGGAGCAGCCCGGGCTCTGTGGGACCGAGACCCCACTGCCTGAGGCCATCCCTGGGGTGTTTCCAACTGCGAGGGCCCGGGCCTCTGCACCCACAGCCCACGTGGCCTGTGACCTCCCCAAGTGTGCCTCTCTCCTCCAGGCTCACCCTGTCCCTGGTGAGCTGGGAACATCATCCTTGCTGAGGGTCCCCCTGGGGTTACCCAGGGCCTGGGGTCCTCCAGCCACCGCCTCCCACCCCAGTGCACAGCCCTGACCAGCCAGGCAGGATGACACATTCACAGGTGGTTACTCTGCCTCCGCACCACCCTGACTGAGCCCAGGCCTCCTGGCCCTGCCCCACTGGAGCCGCTGTCCTGCGGGGGGCCAAGCCTCCTGTCGCAGGGTGGTCACTGCCCTCACCTACACCCTCTGCAGATCCATACAGAGGATCCGGAGGCCCCACTTCCTGCAGGTTCTCCCAGCTTTCAATGTCATTAGGCTGCGTTTCTGGTTCCCAAATGGAGAGGAAAATCCCCAGAGCAGGTCTCAGGATGCCAAGCTCCTGCAGTCTGCAGCTCTCTGATATCCCCAAGTTGGTGGATGACTTGACAGCTTCCAGAATCATCCACTTAGCATTCAGGATAGGAATGTAAACCCACTCGGAGCTCGACTCCTTCCAAGCTTCTGGTGTGCTCTGCCCAGTGAACACACAAAGCCCCATTCGACCTCAGGGAATTGTCCTGGCAAAGGCCACCCAGAAGGGCTTTGGGAACTTCAGGGCGGCTAGGAGGAGAGGCCCAGGTCTTTTTCTCTCCTCTGGCCACAGTCCCCAAGTCAGGTCCCCTGAGGACAGACTCTGGGTTCTGTGGAGATTCCTGACTGTGTGGGAACAAGCACAGGGCCAAAGCGTGTGGCAAGTGTGTCCTGGGGCCACCATGCCCTGCCTGCGGGGATTGGTTAGGAGTAGCCGCAGCATAGCCAATCAGAGCAGGCTTTGGGGCGTGCCCCAGGGCTGGTGGGAAACCCTCGGGCCTGAGAGGAAGGGAAGGGCTGTGGGAGGCCCTCTGCGATGGTGGAGCCTGAAGGAATGGGGTGACTTATTTTCCGGAGCCTGATAGTGCTACAGGCGGAGTTCGGGAGTCATCACTGTTGGATGCCTGATCCAGCTGTGCCCGAGGCAGGGCCTGTTAGGTAGCTTTCTCAGGTCCAGCGGCCAAGCCACCCCCCTTTTGGATTTTCTCAAGCAGATTAGAGGTGGTGTCCGCTACTTCTGCTTGAAGAATTCTCAGAGAACAGAGCCAGATCGGAGTCCAGAGGTTGAACTGCGCCTCTTTCAGCTTTCTGTCTTGAGCTTGTTTCCTCATCTGTAAGAGGAGAGAAGAGGCCCCGGGGTGGGTCTGTTGCAAGCATGGAGTGCTCCCGGGAAGCACAGGCCCTGGCATGGCTTCTGTACTGCTGGCCAGACTCACCCTGACAGAGGGCTCACTGCAGGGCAGGCTTGACCTCCACAACGGCTCCGTTCCCTGGACCACGGGCATGACCGCGGCGCCCATCTGCTGTCTGTGTCCAGCCCTCTGGCAGAAGGACTTGGAGCCAGAAGCAGGGTTCTGTCCCCCCAGGGCCAGGGCCCCACAGAGGGCTGTGGCTCCCTCTCCACAGGGGACACTGGCACCCAGGGCCTGTGTTCTGTCACCATACCCAGGCCAGGTCTAGGCTGTCCCTGTCAGACCACCAGTGAGCTGAGCCTCAGGGTGCAGCCTCCCTCCTGAGGGCTCCTGGCCACCATGGAGAGGTGTCTCTGGGAGGAGAGGATCAGAGCCGGGCAGGCATCACCTGCGTGAGCAGGGCGGGGGTGGGGAGTGCCGCACACAGATGTCGTGCACTTTGCGGACATGGACATGTGAGGTGCATGGAACCCTGAGGTGTCCGTGGTGGGAGGGATGCACAGGAGATGCACACGTGTGTGAGAGGCACACTCAGGTGACACGCACATGGCTCACGTTACAAAGCTGCACCCAAGCAGCAGGGCGAGGGACCCCAGGAACACACAGGAGGCTGAGGGCCCCTCGGAGGCCGTGTTCATGAGGAGTACAGCAGAGGCACTCAGAGTAAAGGGAAGTGACACGGCCGGGCACTGTGGGGGCCACGCATTACATGTGTGGGTCACGCTCCGTGCCACGTCCTGGTAGCCCTCCACCCCAGCAAGGCAGTGTGCCTGGGAACCACACAGGCCAGGCCCCACGCCCATGCCGGCTCCTGGGACATTGCTCAGCGCACCAGCCCTGGATTCCAGGCTGCCTAGACTGGCCCTGGGCCAGAGGAGGCACCGAGGTGACCGCTGTGCCCTTCCAGGTAGGGCTTGTTCCTGAGCAGCAACCCTGAGCCCTCCTCCCAGAGCTCGACCTGGTGAGCGCTGTCCTTGGAGCAGCAGAGAGAAGGGTTCCAGGGTGCAGGAGCAAGGTGACCCTTGGATGGCTGTCTGTCTGTTGTCACGGGTTCTGGTGGTCGTGTGGCACAGTCCCCACGTGCACACCCTGTGCTGAAGGCTGCAGGACTTTCTGCCTGCGCGGCCGCCTCCTGGAAAGCAGCTGCCCCCGGTGTCCCGAGGGTCCAGCCGAGCAGTAGGGGCTGGGAGGGCTCTGGTGCCAGGAGGCTCCGGAAGCCACAGCAGGTACGGCTGGAGTGAGCGGGTGCGGAGGTTGGGGGGACGCTGCCTTTGCTTGGTGGCACAGGCAAGGCCAGGGTCTTGTGTGCGCTGAGCGAGTGGCGCAGGGAGCCTGCGCCCTTCTTGCCAGCTCCAGGGCGCTCCAGGAGGTTGCTAAGGAAACAGCAGAAAGTGGCCCCACACCTGTCCTTCCCCGCCTCTGCTCAGGACCCAAGGTGCTGCGGGCTGCGCCACACGTGCTGGCCCACGCTGCTCGTGCCCTCTCCTCCCTCTCCCTACGCAGCTGCCTGGACACCCAGACGCTCAGGCTGGGAGGGGTGTGGCAGGCTTCCAAGTGGCTCCCAGAAGGCTGGCGTGGCTGGTTCAGGTGATGTCGCTGCCACCAGGTCTATAGCCAGGCTGTCCTGGTCTGTCAGCAGGGATGACTACAGTGAAGGGTGGGGACTCTTTATCCGAAAGGACCAGGCCCTAGGCCCACGGCTCAGGTCTGGGAGCCTGGCCTGGCCCTGACCCAGGGGCGGCTCAGGGCACAGCACTGCCCTGCACTCAGCTCCCAGAAGCAGAGGGTCCCTTGCAGGCTCAGCCGCGTGGCCTGGCCCTGACCACGTGTTGCCCACATGGTGCCCACAGTGTGGCTCAGGAGCTGGGTGTCAGGAGACTGAGGCTCTGCCAGGTTCCCTCCCCTTCTCCTGCGTGTCACCTGTCTCTGTCCCTGAGCTTCCCACAGAGCAGAAACCAAGCTCTCAGAAGACACCGAAGTCGGTTCCATTTTCAAGAACACAGAGTGTCCTGGAACAGTGATAAGTGCACATTACAACCCCAGCCGGTGGTGCCGGTCCCTGCCCCCCTCTTCTTCCCAGGTCATGGCAGTGAGGCACCCATTTAATTACAAGCTCACAGTGTGCACAGCGTTTAGGGGTACGGGACCTGGACCTTGGTAGGCTGTGGGTGGGGGACGTGCCTGTCATGTGGGCTCACTGGCTGCGCCAGATGTCTAACCCGCCCTGAACCCTGCAGACCTGGATGTGGGCATTGTGTGCAACTCTGCTCTCATTTTCCAAGCTCCTCCAGGGTCGCCACTGCAGTGCACAACAGGAAGCCCTGTGCAGCATGCATGAAGGTAAAGGACTTCTGTCCCTCTGGGTGAGTCCGTGGGCAGCGCCACTCGCCAGGCTGTGTGAGCCTTGCCGCAGGAGCTGTCCTCAGAGTTGAGCCACCACACAGGACATCCGTCCCTCCCGGCTGTGGGATGAATCGAATCCTGGAAAGGAGGACGGGATGACAGGCCAGGGCAGGCACCCACCAGGATGCGCTTCCCTGGGGCGCCCAGCACCCCGGTTCTCTCAGCGAGGAGGCAGGTGTGGGATAGGACTTAGGAGTCAGAAGGAAGCCAGCGAAGGCCGCAGCCACCCCGAGGGTGAGGGTTTCACTATCTGGGTGTCGTGGTGGAGAGGGACAGCCTCCGCCCCGCCAGGGTGACACCTGGCCCAGCCCGTGTGGCGACTCTGCATCCCATTTCCACCCTCCCCCCAGCCCAGCCCCGACTCCCAGGCCTTGCAGCACAGTCGGCTGTGCCAGTCTGTTCCCCCCCATCCTCTCCGAGTCCCTGAGGGCAGTGTGGTGGGCAGGGCCTGACAGGCATCCTCCCCACCAGGTAGCAGAAGTGCGCTTGCAGGGTTCCCAGAGGGAGCTGGCAGCTGGAGAGCTCAGAGCCGCAGCTCATCTCCCTGCCGCTGGAACTCCGGGCTGCTGTCCTAACCAAAGCGAATTCGGCCCCAAAGCCACCGGGCACCTGCCACCGGCCGACCCGCCTCCTTCCCCGTGTGCCAGAGGGCTGTGCTGCAGCCGGGAGAATCCCACACGATGACCAAGGAGCACCGTTGGCCCTGGGACACTTCCTCACTGTTGCTGCACCACAGCAGACAGATCCCACCACAAACCCAAGAGGGGCAGCAGGACACGCCGCCCTGCAGCCCGGCTGCTCCAGCTACAGCGGGCGATGAAGAGGCGAAGGAGAGGAGCCCGGCACAGGCACAGCAGGCAGCGTGCCAGAGGGCCACGGGGCAGTCGGCAGGTCAGACCAAATGCCAGGGTCAGAAGCCCTTGGGCAGCCAGAGGAGGGGACCTGGGGGGCTCAGTGGGCTAAAGAAAGCTGAAGAAAGGGCCGAGGCTTGGAGATGGTTGGTAGAAACACCTCATTCGGAAGTGCAAAGAGAAGAGGAGGGAAACGAGCCTCAGACCACCCAGCCTGGGGGGCCACATAAGTGATGTGACCGCGACATCAGAGACAGGAAAGGCAGCGGCGTGGAAGGAGCATTTGAAGGAGAACCTTGCAAAATTAAGAATGCCGAACTACAGCCGGGATGCTCAGAAAATGCCAAGCCCGACTGATTTATTTTTTTAAAAAAGGACAATACAGACATTTCACATTAAAATTGTACAAACCAAAGAGAAAATCTTTTAAGGTCAGGCAAAGCCCACCTTCCCTATAGACCGGCAAGAGAAGAGTCGTTGTGGATTTCTGGTCCACCACGCAGGCGAGAGCAGTGCAGAGAAATGCTCAAATATAGAAAAGAAACTGCACCAATCTGATAGCTATATAATTCCAGAAAAATTATTCTTTAAAGGTGAAGGAGAACAAAGACTCAGACAGACAAGCTGCGGGAACTCAGCCGGCAGACGCCCTTCCACGAAGTGTTCACTTCTTTAGTGGGAAGGACAACTGAGATGTGGTCAGGATACAAACGCAGGGCAGTGGCGGCAGGAGAGGGTGTCAGTGTGAGAAGAAACAGGATTGAGACACACGCCCTTCTCCCTGATTGGTCGTCATTATTTTAAGAATGTGTTCTGTGATTACAGCGGCCCCGCCTGATCCACAGTGTGGGCTTCGGTTCTGTTATCTGTGGCCAACCACAGCCAGAAATATCGCATGGAAAGTTCTAGAAATAAGCAGGCGGTGGCTTCTGAGTCACAGTGCGTTCTGCGCCACAGGTCCTGCCGTCTCCGTCCTGCCCGGGGCGTCCACGTTGGCTGCACAAGCTCTGGGCCTGTTAGTCACACAGCTGCTGGCTTGGTCGGTGCCTGTGTTCTCGTGGCCCACAGGAGGAGCTGACACTGC